TGTGTGTGTGTGTGTTTTGGACAGCAGCTAGCAATGCTAACAGGGCTAAGCGCTAGGATTGCATTGAAAATATGGACACTGTGGTTATATGACAGGTCATGTGCAGATGACTTTTTTTTTTTTTTTTACTTGTTGAATTTTTTTGTTGCTGTTGCAGCCTTTAAATGAAATGCACGACATAAAGAAAAGGAAAGAAAATCTCTAATTGTTTTGTGTTATAAGTGCGTTATTATTGTTCTGCTGTATTCCACGCTACAAGTGCATGTTTTTTAACCCACTGAATAATGCAATTGGCTTGTGTTTGCACAGCCTCATCAAACATGCCCTTTTTTCTCACTCGAGCTGCATGAGCATTCAGACCTTTACACTGACTTTCTGACACACTGCACGCACTGTGAAGCAATGTAAAAAGAAACGACATAAATAAAAAAAATCAATATTCAAATGAGATTCTCAGGCTGATTTGCATGTGTCAAAACGTGTAAAGACATAAAGAGGAAAGGTGCATGAAATAGAATTATTTTTTTCTATCGCATTAAAGTTTATTTTTTTCTTATTGATATATCGTTTTAAAATCTGTGATTTATTGAATGGAAATGATGAAGTGCAACACTATGCTGGTGCTCTGCATGTGCACCAGCTTTGCTTCTAACGTGGAATCCAATGCCTTAAAAAAAAAGAGGAAAAAAAAAAAGCATGGGCCATGTAAACCCATATTTATAAATAAATTCATGTTATTTAGACACAATCAGCCGTGCTATAATTATGCACACTTACTCATTTGCTCAGCACCTCGCTAGTCCCACTGGGCAATAGCAATCCTTAAGCGGAATAATTTTCCTCAACCATTGGGTGTTTTTTTTGCCCCCCTATTTTAAACGGTTGCAATTACAAGTCTGCACTTTAGGACCTGTCATCTCATTTTACAAGGTTAAGGCAAAGACCAGGCATTAGGAAATATGACCCCACCACCCCAACACCCCCCCACCACCACCTACCACCTCAGCTCCGGCTAACGAAACTGATATTTGTTACCTCAATTTAGTTTTTTTTTGTGCGCTTGTGCACACCTTGAAAATAAATGCACATCTGACACGTAAGGCCTTCCTTTGTGTTTGACACAATTTGTGCTTCTGAGTTCAACATGATCACGCAGAGTTTCACATGAAATAATTTCTGCTGCTGCTTCTGCTTGCGCAATTCTCTCTCTTTGTGTTTTATGGTTTTATAAGATTTTATCATTCCCGGCATATGCACATGTGAGAACATTTTGCCATTCTTTCCCTCTTAGTCAGCCAGTCTTGTTAACGCTACTGGCTGGTATGTGGAATTAGTCACTCATTATTCTCATCAGTACTGCCACAAACACACATTCACAACAACACACGATTTGAACTGAGGCACTTCCTTGTTTCAGTGGCAGAGGTTTGTAGTTGTCTTTGTGGCTATCACAGTACTGTGTCCTGTACAAGTCCATGGAGCGCTCATTTCATTGTGCTTATGCAGCAGTTAGAAAAGCAGTAAATTGTGTAGCATGGCTGGAGGATGCTGCGGCGAGACAGTGGTGACCTTTGCTCTCTTAATTCCACCCCTGAAATACTATTTTCAGACTTAATTCAGATTTTTAAAATTTTTTTTTAAATTTTTTTTTTACTTTGATTAGATTTTTTTAAAATTTCCTCTCCAGCGCCAATTTCTTGTACACAAGATAAAGTCATTACAAAAACTGAAAAGCCACTATTGATTATTGAGGAGGTGCTTTATTTGCAAACTAGGAGACAACGTTTATTACAGCTTAATTTGCTACCTGAACAGTGACTGTAGATGAACATGGTTTTTTCGGCTTGCGGTGATCTTCCTACTGTACAGCCTCGGCCCCCACTGTCTGCAGCGCCCTGTGTGTCCAGCCATTAGAGCTTTGAAGTCAGCGGTCGCTGTAATATAAATGTATTAGACTTAAAGCTGGCATAAATAATTCACCTGGACATTGATTAGCTGTCTTGCTCCCTAACATGTCATGTGAGGCACTGAATATGACTGCTAGTATTATTGGAATGAGACTTTCTCTGTCTTGTTACAAAAGGCTTTGATTCTCGCTGCTTTTCCCTTCATTTTTCCCTCGTCTGCTCCTCTCGGTTCGGGCGATGCTGTGGTATTATTTTTAGGATGTGGATTTCAGCATCTAGGCCTTTAAATCTTTATTTATTTATATTATGTTTTAATATAAATGATTTTAAATTGAGATTTCTTATTTCTGTATGGTCAAATATTGAGGTATCTCTCAGAGAAGAAGTGTTTAATTTATATGTTTTTTTCTGTCAGCTGGCACTAATCCTGATCTATGTGGATATTTCAGTGATTTTTGTTATTGCATGACTTGAGGGGGAGAAAAAAAATTCCTGCATGTGGCGGTTACCATAATTTGTCTGACCTCTGGGAGCCATAATCAGTGAGAATTTGTTTTTCCTACCACCTAAGTCCAAGGAGGCTCACAATTTAGTATCATTTAGCAATCTGACATGACGTTGTGCCCGGGCTTTAAAAGCCTTCTTGTCCTCCTCTCCTCCTCTGCTCTCCCTGCCGTCTCCCTCCTCCCTAAACCTCACACAAAGGCCTGCTGGATCATTGGGTGCAGGTCGAATTGGAGAAGTGGCCTGCCCAGTTCACCCCGGTTTTCTATCTCCTTTCACTTTTCTCCCTGTTCCCTTTGCTCTCCCCGTCTACCTTTTGTTTCCTGCCGATGCTAACACAGGTCTTGTGAAAAAAGGCGGCGGGTTAACTCCGGTGCTGTGGGCTAACATCACACCTCAACAGGTCTGGAGACGCAGAGGCTCAGGGATCTGGGCGGCCAGCTCTCCTGCATCGGGGGGCTGCAGGGCCGTAAATCCACTGGCTTTATTTACTGCCTCTCGGACTTATGAATGTTAAGATATTTGACGCCACCCCTGGCCCCATAATTCTCCAAGCCTGGAGACTTTTGGCGGAGGTTTTGAGTTTCGATGTATAATTACGACTAGTTTAAAAAAGAACAAGAAAGTGGTT